GCGTGTCAACACTATGTGATGTGTGTCTAGAATCAGGACATGCTAACGCGGTGAACTTTGCTGGAGCGTCCTTTTCTCTCCTTCTCTTTTTTCTCTTTAGGTGTCATCTACTTGATTAACGAACAAACCCATGTACGCCTCACGTTTTCAAGGCGGCAAAATGAGCGCGATTTTTGTTTTTTTTTCTCTCTTTCATTTCTCAAATCTTAGACGCCCGTTGCTTTGTTGTTTTCTCCACGTAGAGAGACTAGATACTGGGGGGGGAGGTTTTCCCTTTACCGACTTCCCCCCGCCACGGTTTCATCAACCACAACATGTACATTATTCCCCATAGAAAGCTCGCTTACCTATCCAAACGAACTCGCTATATTACAGAAAGCTTGTGCGTAAACAAAGTATGCAATAGCAGTGTCTTTCTCCCTTATTCTCTTCTTTTTCTCTCTCGTTTCCTTCCTAGGATCCCATATTCGTGCCACTCAGAACCATAGCACCACGAATCACAAAAAAAAGTCATTCACAATCCGTTTACTTGCATCTGAGTGCGAGTGAGCAAGAAACGGTCCAGGCCCTGCATACCCAAACCCACACCCAATCACGCATCTACTTACACACATTCGCTATGATTTTCCCATTCGGGTCTATCTCCGACTCCCCCCCCCCTCCCCTTTACTCTTAAACGAGCAAGTCAGAAAACCCCCCAAAAAACCCTACCTAGTCCCGAAACAAACATTTCCTTCTCACCCTTACACTTGGTTCTGCTCTGCCCTTCTCCAGTCATTCTCGCTTTTATTTCCCTTTTTCGCTTTCTCTCTCTCTCTCTCTTGCTTGATCTTACCTTTTCCTCTTTCTTTCTTTCTTACTTACTCATTCTGGTGTGTACGCGATCATGAAGATCTGACCTCCCCCCCGCCCACTTGCCGTTAACCGGACCGGCCCCCGGGTGGGGGGTGGTCATACTTAGGAAGGGGGAAGAAATATCGGTAAATTGCGTCATTTCAAGTACGGCTAGGGAGGGAAAAAAATCAAAGGGACATATGGAGGGGCCAGACCGCAATTGCGTGTGTAATGCAATGTTCATGGAAAAGTGACGGATTGGGAGGGAAAGGGTGTTGATTGGGTCCACAATTCCTTTGCGGGAGGGTTTTTTTTTACTAACTATTGGTTTACTTTAGTACTTAGCCGGGACATGCTGAGGAAAATAGGGCCTTTTTCGTGTGTGTCTCTTTTCTCTATCTCTTTTTTCTAGTGGCATTGGCTAGATGTAGGGATGCACGTATGCAAAAATGATTATGATTACTGTGCATTATTATTGTTATTATTTCTCCTCCAAGGAAGAAGAGGTGGGGGTATGGGGCCGCCCCACTGGGATTCAGGCGTCCTATTTTTTCTTCTTGATGTGTAAGTATGCAAATTAAACGAACACGTAGCCTTGGGAGGGAAATAGTGGTCGTAAGACTTGATTCTGGGTTTACCCGGCAATTTGGGTCTGGCTGGGTTGGCTCGGCAGATGGGGCGATATGATTGACGAGGTTTATCAAGTGCGTATTTTTCTTGGGGGGCCTGGCGCTTGAGGTGATGTGCGAGGAGTTGCGTATTTGCGCGCTTGGCCGAGGCTACTGCTGTTGCTTGCTGCTGTCGGCAGCAGTGATGGCGATGCAGCTCGGCTAAGCGGTAGGGTACCAATGTAGCCAGTATGAGTCGACTTTGCAGCAACCAACGACTTCTCAATCCGTCGTCTCGTCAAAGTCATCACGGTGAGACTGTTATGCCCTGTAATCCGCTTGCAGGCCTCGGCCATGCGCTCACCCACCCACCCACTTACTTAGCCATGGTGGGAAAGTTCTCTCTACGCCCCTCCCGCCAACTGCCCTGACCAAGCTTTGGCAGTATGGGCGGGTGGCTCCGCGCCACATGCGCATCCTAAACATAGGCCGCCCTAGGACGAAAGGCTCTTAGAGAGGATGCAAGGGTAAGCGCTCGCTGGGCCAGTGGAAGAGTAGGCTGCTTGCTGTTGCCTTCCCGAGTGGGACTGGACAAAAAGGTGGCTGAGACTTGCATGGCGCATGTGCTGAGGCGAGTAAGCCACATAGTCGACCCTTCATGTTGCAATGGGGCGCCGTATGATCCCAGGGAGCAGAAGGCAGGCTGTGAAGGAGGGCGGGCGTGAGTGCGTGTGGATGAGGGTGCTGAGGGTGGGCTTGCGGCGCCCTGTGTCGTGTGCTGCGAGTGGAGCGATGATGGGCGGGCAGCGGGCAGTTCACGCGCGACAACGCCCCTCCGGGCCGCCTCGCGGATCTCCACTGCTACGGCCCGGTTCTGTTTCCTTTTCCACCGCCCGCCTATCAAAACAACGTCTGCCAAACGTCCTGTCAACCGCCAGCTGCACACAACTGCACTCTGTACGCATCCGCCACCCTGCCTCGCCGACCTGGACCTGGCCACTGGCTCCGTCTGCCCTACCATTGCCCATCTAGGCCAAATCCATGTAGTACGCAGACTAACGCAATCGTCATCGTATTCTGTCGTCTTGGATCCTTAGCATCACCTCAGCCCCCACGCCTGTAGACTGAGGCCACCCCGCCGCCGGGATCGGGGAGCTGGCATCGCTGGTCTTGCCGCCTGCCTCGATTCCTAATCGGGACACAGGCTGCCTGACATAGCAGATGGTAGGCTCTGGACTGTCTTGGTCGGTGGGGCAAGGCGTCCCAGTTACATAGCCATTGGCCAAAGTAGATTAGATGGATGGATCAACCTTGTATCACGGCTCAGAGGACAAGATAATGCATGCTACTGCTCATCAGAGACGAGGCGTGTCTGGTACTACAGCAACAATGCGCCAGGCCTTAACAGGGCCATTATGCGGATACGGCATGGCTTTGATGTGAGCCGCCCTATGAGCTGAAATCCCAGTCCCATGGGTTCACAGCCCAGTCTAAGGAAGAACAGAATCGGTCCCTGAATAACTGTGCTTCTAGGTTACATTCCGCAAATGCTGTCGGTTCCCTGGAGCACGTTCACCTGGTACAGTAACCCTCTCTCACGTGCTCTACATAGCCGCCTTGTCTGACACGGTCCCCCTGGGCGCCTCGTCTCCCATCAAAGTTACCCTGTTGGGCCAAAGCCTACCGTGTGCTATGATGTGACTCAAGGGTCCTTGTGCTTTATGCCAGGTGGCTGTTTGTGCACGCGTAATGTCAATCTTATGAAGACGTTGATCTGGGGAGAAACGGTTTGGTGGGGCAACCGTCTGCCGGGAAAAAGCTCAATATGCAAAAGAGTTGGTGGTTTGGTAATGTTGATTCAAAAGTCCCTTCTCAACCTACAGCTAGATGCTGCTGAGAGTACTGAGGTGGTTTTCATGCACATTGTAATCCATTATATCCTCGTAGCCAATTGGAGAGTTACTCCTTCGTCCCGAGACCTATGATAAACACTGCACAGATGAGAAGATTGTCATAGATGCTACAAATTGTTGGTTGGAGATAAGCAGTTAAGCGAAGAGGTGATGGACATAACAAGCCATCAGCAGTGGAGCTCATTTCAACCGTCGCTTCCAAAGGATGCATCCGAAAGAAGAAGTAACAATGTAAACCTCAACACCCTCTCAGGAGAGCTAAGACGAACCACTTCCTTTCTCTGATCAACCGTCTTTCCCTCCTCGACTCCCCTCGCATACTCATCTCACCCACACACCGCTCTCTGCGTAAGCCAGACGCAGTCAACAAACCCACTCGCCCTCGCAAACATGCCACACCCGCCGAAACACATACATCCTATATGCACAATGTGCTAGCTCAGCACCGATAAACAGCGTGTCGGTATCCCGATTTCTTACGGGAAGAAAGAAAGGGTAAAACAAGGGTGGGCGGAACACGTGGGAATGCCTGGGAATGCTTGCAGCCTACACCGATAACAATCCATGTAAACAAGTCGTCATCAGCCTTATTTGTTCCAGGCTTATTGCAGATCCCAGCTTAGAAATCTGTACAGCGGTCAAAAACACTCGGTCGTACAAGAGAAGGATCACATCTTATCGCATCAAAGGACCATTGACTTCCTTTTTGCGGACACGCTTGCATTAACGCGTGGGGGAGTCATTAAGCGGAAAAGTACTCCACACCAAACACTAACGCTCTCTACACTCGCAAGGCATGTTTCCAGATTCGTAAGATTTCAAGGGGCGCTGAATTGGTGTTTGCTAACACAACACTCAGGACTCTCTTGCTTACTACTACTATTACTACTATCCGATATTCGTCCGACCTGCCAACTCCTCAACGACTTACTTGGTGCGAGCGCAAACCACCTACACGACGTACACAAAGATTCGCAGTCCCCAGTCCGACGAGACAAGTACCTTGCTAGCCACGGATACTACATGCTTCCCCACGTTCGTTAGTGTTATGTTGTCATCTCCTCATTGTCCATCAAAGGATTAGCATCGTGAACACGTGTTTAGCTTCTTCTCGCTTGACCAGTGACATTTCTGCTGCGCACTTACCGCTCCACGTGGAGGGAGCTCGCGTAGGTAGTTGGCTATAGCGGAGTGACAGTCAACTGCGCTATGCCGGAATGTTTGCGCCACATTTTTCGTATATTAGCTTAGTGTATCTGAGTGCATGCTCTACTATATTGGGTTGCTTTGGATTTGTTCGCTGGTAGAGATGTTGTGGGACAGTGGGGTGGATATTATATTCCATAGATTGAAGCCATGGGGACATCGTGGTAGGGTCTCTTGATCTGATATGTAGATGTACCAATGTAAGAAATCACCCTGTTTGAATATATGTTTTTGGAGGAAGGTATGGCGTGGGACACGTGCAAATCCGACAGGGCTAGAGAAGAACATGTTTATTGCAAATTCCGTACATAGCAGCAGAATACATTCATTACAACGTATGTAGTACATGTTCACTCACTACCTTCTTTTGCGACCAAAAGCCCTCTGTTTCTCCAAACACCCACTGTACCATCTTGCCCCTCTCATACAATCCCCTTCCTCAACCTCCCACCACCCCCTTCCTTCCCTTTCCC